TCAAAATAATTCTGTTTAGCATTCCTAATTTTCTGTGCCAGTTCTTCTTTCTCTATTAAATCCATTTTATGTTTAGTTATATCCAGTTTCATTTTAACATCTTTTCTGTGTGGCATTTTCTGTAATTCTTTTTCAAGTCCCTTATATTCATCATCCAAGGCTTTAAGAGTTCGCCTTTTCCTGTTGTTCTTTTTTCTTGTATAGTCTATTATCAAGCCTCTAACATAGGCCTTCATTGTGTCCCAAACATTCTGTATTGAGGTGTCTTCTTTTCTGTTCTCTTTAAAGAAGAAGGCCAATTCTTTCTCCATCCATTGTATAAATTCCTTATCCTTTAAAATAGAATTATTTAATGTCCATCTCGATCTTTTCCTTTGTCCCTTCCATTCAATTGTCAATGGGTTATGGTCAGCCCAAGTACTTGTTTCAATATTTACTTCTTGAATACTAGACATTAAATCTGTTGAGATCCAAATCATATCCAGTCTGGACCATGATAGATGCCTATTTGAATAGAACGTAAATTGCTTAGATTTATCATTTCTTTCCCTCCATATGTCTTTTAAAGTTAATTCATCTATCATTTTAAAAAAGGATTTAGGAAGAGTTTTCCTGTTATGCTTTACTGTTGTTGCAATATAGTCAAGTCTATTATCCACAATTCCATTAAAGTCTCCCATCATAATTACATTAGCATAGTCAAGTTCGGCAGTCTTAGTATGTAATTTTCTATAGAATTCTTCCTGTTTATCATTCGGTGCATAAATTGCAATCAAAAGTATCTTTCTATTATTGTCCATTATTTCTACCATTAATATTCTCCCATCATCATCTGTATAAATCATTTTTGCTGGAATGGCCTCTTTAATATATAAAACCACCCCTCTTTTCTTGGATTGTGTCAAAGAGGTAAACAATTTCCCTAATTTTGGTTGTAATAACAATTGTTCATGTTGCTTTTTAATATGAACTTCTTGTAAACAAATTATGTCGAACCTTAATTTCATTAATTTATGGAAAATCTTCCTTCTCTTAGCAGCTGAATTCAGTCCATTTATATTCATTGTAATCAATTTTTTTTCTTCCATAATTATGTTTTATATTTAGATTTAACCACTCTCGTGGGTCTTGCCTCACGTTGATCTTTAATATCCACTTGTCCACCTACTGCACCTTCTTCTTTTCCAACCTCCATTTGTTCCTCTTGAGATTCAATTGATGGGACCTCCTTTCCTGCTCCTCCTTCTCTGCCTCCAAAAACCTCTGCGCAAAACAGTTCTGCTTTCTCAATTGAATCAATTCTATGTCTCTGTTCCTGCCACGTAAACATCAATCCTTCTGGAATCAACCACCTGTAAGACACCTCTTTTTCCAATAACCTTTTAGTCAGGAATCGGTATTCTCTTCTCATCTCTCTCACTCTTCTAGGTATTTGTTTTAAAACCAAAATTTCTTTACTTTTGTATTTCAGTGGCTTCTCTCTTGCTACTTGCAATATTTGTGTCTTCAAGGATTTTTTAATAAATCTAATATGAACTTCTCTGGGTAGGTTATTTCTCATCGCATATCTTGTAAAAACTCGATATATCTCATCAATTCCATCCATCATCTTCTCTTCTGTTATCTCGAGCGCCTCCGCCAAGATTCCTACCATTATCGCAACCAAATCTTGTCCTTTTTCTTCTTCTATATTTTGGAATCTAAGAAAAAATTCTGATCTATCCAACTCCCACTTCAACATCTCACTTTTTTCTTGTTCAATCGCTGTTAATCTATTGTCGATATTTCCAATTTTCTCCTCTCTTTGTTTGCCTCCCTCTTCAACATTTTGGAGTCTCTCTTCATATTTTTCCATCATCTGTTCCATCCTACCTGTTCTTTGTTCAATAGTATCCATTTTTACCTTAAGATCTTGAATTCCTTGCATAATCATCTGGAAGGATACTCTTTCTTGTTCTTTTTCTTTCTCTTTATCTTGCTTTAACAATGTCTGAATTGAACGCTGTCCAGATGGTGGGGAGGCAGAAGCAGACATAGAGGCACCCGAAGATATAAATTTCTTACTCATTTTAAGTGGTTCCAACTCTTCAAGTTTTTTCAAATTTTAATCCACAAAAAAAAGAGAAAAAAATATGAAATTTTAATCCAAGGTAAAAAGGCCAACAATAAAAAAGCCAAAAGTGAGAGAAAAAAAGAAAAAAAGAAAAAAAAAATTCTTCAAATTCTTCCTGACCTTAGTCCAATAAAAAAAAAAAAAACCATAAAAAAAAGTAACAGTAAAAATAAAAACCCAATAATAATAATAAACAAGACAAAACCAAAAAGGAAGAAGGGAAGAAGAAAAAGAGAAAAAACAAAAAACAAAACAAAAACCAAGAAAAATAAGTTTCTTCAGATTCCACACCTTAGTCCAGCCAGAAAAAAAAAAAAAAGAAAAAAGAAAAAACCTCAAATAAAAAAAAGGAAAAAGAAATAGTCCGCAAATGTACATTAAAAAAAAAAAAAAGGAAAAAAGAGAAAACAGGATCCAAATAGGCAAAAGAAAAAATAAAATCAGTTAAATCAAAATAAAATATAAGTAGAAAAAAGAAATTCAGAGGCTTCCCTTTGCAAATAAATCAAGCTTAAAAGTCAGGACCTTGATGTTAGTGAAGGGGTTGGCAGAACTCAAAAAAAACAACAACACTGCACTCTATTTAATTATCCAAGGCTCTAATTATAACTCCCTTCTCTTTCCCACAAGCTTCAAAGCTGAGCCATGTATATCCAGAAAGACACCTGTAATAATATTCCACAAAGTGCTTTCCTCTATCTTATCAGGGGATGTCCTTGAGAAGAAGAGTCTATTTTTCTTTTTTTTTAAATATTTCCGAGCCTCTAGGTGGCAGTGTTACAAAGTATCATAGTTCTCACTTTCCCCCCTCCTCTCTTAAGGGAAAGCCGGCTTGCAATACACAAAACAAAAACCGAAAAATCAAACAAAATCAAGAGAAGCCTCTAGCCCAGAAAAAATAAAAATAAAAAGTCCAGAAGAAGAATAAAACATATGAATATATAGAAAAAAGAAAACAGTCCAGTTATCCAATAAGTAACAATAGAGTCCGGAAGCAAAGAAAAGAAAAAATGGATTCTCTCTTTGACGTTTCCCTAAAAAAACGCCGCTAAATCAATTTTGTCAAAAAACAAAACAAAAATCACACAGGTTTCTTCAGATAATTAGAGTAAACTTTCCAAATTCAAAAAATTAAATAAAAAAAAGAAGTTCTCACCCAACCGACAAACTCTTTCTCAAACTCTTTCCGTCTGGAGTCGCCCCGGCCTCAGCAGCATGGGGGCTGCCTCTCCGCCGCTGGCAAGAAGAGCTTCACCCGGGCTCTCCAGGGATTTTGCGGTATCCCCGGAATCCTCAGGATATGCTCTTCACGATGGCTGTCCCTACGGGACAGCGTAGGTCCGTTGGACCGGCCAGTGGCGGAGATATCGGCTGCAATCGAAGAGCTCGATTGCAGACCGTATCGCCACGGCGCAAGCTCCTCCCATCTCCTCCTGGTGTTTTCTTTTCTGTGGAAAATGGGTCCAAATGGCTCTTGTCGTTTCAGGTTGCCGACCCCCGCTGCTTGTGCAAGTGAGGGCACCCGCTCACCCACCACTTCCACCACCTGGTTCCGAAAGGCTCAAGGTCTGGTAGTGGACTGGGACCCTGAGGTTGGGGACCTGCCAGATCTGGTTACGGCAGCCACAGGCAGGCAACTGGGCCCTGCCAGCTTTCTCCCTCTAGGAATCCATTTTGCATTGATTAGTTCTGCTTTAATCGATCAGTATCCAAAGCCTCCCCTGCAGCTCCTCTTCCCCAAATTCATCACTGACTCTAGACTTCCTGCAAAAATGTCCCTGCTTTTATTTTTTTTTGTCCAGCTGAATCATTCTGAGGGAGGCAGTGTCAGAATGAGGGGGGGGGGGGGGGTCCAGGGAAGGAAAAAGGCTAGTCCCCCCCTCTTTTCCTGGGTCCCTCCCAAAAATCCAACCTCCCACCCCTCCCCGGCTTTCCCCCTCACCTCGGGGCTGCCATTCTTAGTGCCCACATAGGAGGGTGTGGACGTCTTCTGCTCCTGACTCCTCACGAAGGCCTTAAAGGAAAAGGGGTTGGCTCCTTCCCCGAGGATGCCAGGTGGCCCACCTGCAGCAGGTAAGAAAACAGGTCAGAATAGGACAGGGAGACCCTCTAAATCAGGGGTCTCCGACCTTGGCAGCTTTAAAGACAGAATTCTGGGAGTTGAAGTCCACAAGTCTTAAAGTTGTCAAAGTTGGAGACCCCTGCTCTAAATCACCCCTCTCCCCACACAAGGCAATTTGGCTTGCCAGTATCAGTCCTTAGAAGCTGAGGCTGGGATGAACACCACCTCTTCTGAAAATAAAAATAAAAATATATATGTATGAATGCATGTATGCATATGTGTGCGTGTATATATATATATGCGAAATACCCCTCCCACATCATCACAAAATCTCCAGAACCGTAAAGCCTACAAACGTGAAATTTGGCACGTAGGTTCCTCTTGGCTTCTAGGGGCTCACTAAGAAAGGGTTTTTTCGAAATGACTATCAGAGCATTACCATTTCCTATATTATTATTATTAACATACTCTGATACTAAGGAGTTCTACTCCCCCTCCCCATCCGAAAAGAAATCTCTTCCGAATGCAAAACACAAGCAGAGGAGTTTGAGTTTGAGTTTCAGAGCACCAAGCAGCTTTAGTACAGAACAGTTGAGCTAACCATGCCCAGGCTCCTTGCTGTCTCCTCTTTGCTCACACAGCAAATAATGTTTCAGTTTCCAAACAGCCCTCAACTCTCTCGCACACTGACAGGACGTTAGCCAGATGAATACCAATGGATGCTGGTAGGCAGAGGACAAATTCCTCCCTTTATTTTCCTCCCCCAAATCTAAGCCTGATCAGATAGTTTTGTAGCGAAGCATAGGTATCGAGCTAGAAAAAAAAATAAAAAATAAAACAGGCACATAGTATCACATGTGGTGGACTTGTGCTTGAAGCCAAAAAAAACCCCCAAACCCAAGAGAGCATAAATACATAAATGGCTAGAAAAGATAATAGGAAAGCATGTAGATTTCAAACATGAATTACTTTTATTAGGTATAATATCGGGTAAACTTGGTAAGAAAAGCATGCATTTAATCTTGCACGTCTTGACCGCAGCGAGGATTGTTATTTGTATTTGCGCAACGCTGGGGGAAAAAAAAACCAAGAAACACCGTGTGATGAAGAAATAATTAAGAAAAAAAATTAAAAGCCCGCAGAAGTGGGCAGACCTACATTAAGAATTAAACAGAAAGAAGATAGGGAATATTATCAAACGTGGAAAACTGTTTTGTCAAAGGTCGGAAGAAAAGTGGGTGGAGATTAAAAATGTAATCCGCATTGTTAAGCAAACTGCACGCTCAGACAATGCGATGCTTATTATGCACTAAGAATGCAATTAATTAAAAAATAAAAATGCAAGTAAAAGCACTTTGCACGTGCTCAGAAGGACTTTCTTCCTCGGCTGTTGCAGAAAATGGGAATTGCACCACACGCCCTTCCCTGTTGAAGCCACCCCACCGCCACACCCAGCCATCCAGCCACACCCCACCACCAGTCCCTACGACCCCCTGGGTGGGCAGCATGGGGCCTGGAGTCCTCTCTGAGAGTTGAGAGAGGACGGTTCTCCTCCGGGCCAGCCCTCCTCCACCCCTCCCAGGAACCATCATCCCCAGCCTGGTCAGGAAAGAGGCACAGCATCCCGAAGGAATTTCACACACACACACACAGGGCAGAAGACACTCTGCACGTGCTCAGAGGCAAGGTATCCAGGCGGCCTTCTTACCGGCAAGGCCTGCCCAGGGAGACTCCCCGCTTTCCTCGAGGACGGCGGCGGTGGCGCCGGGCGGCAGAGCTCTGTGCCCGGCCATGGGCCGCGGGAGACGGCCGAGCGACTCCGCCTTCCTCCTCCTCCTCCTCTGCCGGCAGAGGGGCGGACTTCCGGGAAGGGGGGGGGCGGAAGACCTCGGTGCCACGCCCCCCGGACCAGAGAGCTACTAAACAGGAAGAGTCGCTAGTCTTTCTCGGTGCTGCGTTTGCGTTGCGGCCCAGGCTTTTCAATCCGTCCACATCCTGAATTTTGAGCCCGTTTAGTAAAGCGCTAGTAGTGTCTCGCGGGACGGCGCCATCCGCCAGTTAGGTGAGTTCCCCTTCTAACACCTCTTCTGAATTGTTTACGAAGAGAATGGAAGAGCATTGGGCCCAATCAGAACTTTAGGGCAGGGGTCTGCAACCTTGGCCACTTTAAGCCTGGAGGACTTCAACTCCCAGAATTCCCCAGCCAGCAAAGCTTAGGGTACCCCATTGCCTACTTTCCCCGCCATGTAGTTCCATTAAGGCAGGGGTGGGGAACTATGGCCCCCTTTATGACTTGTGGACTTCAACTCCCAGAATTCCTCAGCCAGGTGTTTTGTATATATTCAGGATGGATTCTCTTACTGTTTCCTTACCTATTTTGACTTGCATGCTTGTTCCACCTCCCTCAATGCTGCTTTTATTCCCTGAACGTCAGGACATGACAGCTGGAAATTCTGGAACCGCAATCCTCACACCACCTTCTTTGGCCTAGGTATAAACCTCTGCCTCCGATTACCTTCCATGGCTTCATTTTCATTACACTCTCTACATCTTCTTTTAATGACCCCATAATCCCTTGCAGGGTGCAGTCTGGGCAACTGAATGGAGCTGAGTGTTTACTGGCCAGATGCCCTTCCTATCACCAATATGGAGTTTTTTTTTTCAGCAGATAATATTCTCATTGTACAGAGAGGGGAATACCTGCCTCTACCTAGGATTGAACTCACAGCCGCCTGAATGTGAGGCAAGAGTGCCGCCTTTGGCCACCGCACCACTCTTCCTTACTTGTGTTAATATGAAAGGAAACTGGAATGAGATTGCCATAGGTGTATACTCTGCACTACCCAATCAGAGGAACTAGAGGAACCTTTTGCTAAATCATTCAGCGGATGAACAGAATGCATAGTAACGGGTCGACTTTCACTATCCTGACAAGTGGGAAAGACCTCATCTCTGCACCTAGTGGGGGAGCAAACGGGTTCCTGATGAGTCTTATTCATTTAAAACATTCTTCTAACTGCCCATCTTTCTATTGTGGTTAGCGGGCAGCAGGTGCGGACTCTGGAGGAGAGCGAGGACTCGGATGAGGGGCCGGGACCATCAGGGAGTGGACTGCTGCCTTCAGGGATTGTGGGGGCTGACAGCAGTGATGAGGAGGTTCCCGAGGAGCCTGTGCCAAGTGTGCGTGAATGCAGGATGATTCTGGAGCATCACAGGCGACTCAGAAGTAAGGATGCCCCTCCCTCAAGGGAATATAAGCCTAGTTTCAAAAGGTTTTTGCTTTTGCAGAAAGCAAAAATGTTCTACGGTCTCAGCATTGTGTGTAGAGACTCCAGCTTATTTGAAGAATTCTGTCAAGACTTTTCTGGTTGGACTAATTGGCCATCTTTTACCCACAAAGAGTAGATTTGTTTGTAGATTAAAGCTACGTTTGAGATTTTCTTGCTGGCAACAGGGTTGGGTCAAAACACTTTCAGTCAACTCACTGCAGCTCCCATAAAGCCGTTTTAAAAACTATCCAACACATTAAAACATAAAATATTGAAAATAAAAAAAACAAAAAAGCCGGGCACTAATCCATGCCAACTTCTCATTCTCTGATCTCCCAGCACCTGGGGAAAAGCCAGGAGTTTTAAGGCTAAAGGGGTTGAGGCCTTTTTAGAATACGGCTCGCATCTCACAAAGCTTTGCTGGCTTTAGAGAAGAGAACGTCTTTTAGCAGTTTCTACTAGAAGACAAGGGGGACCATGCAGGGAATCCAACTGACAAGAGTTTCAGATGTTTGGAGATTCATTTGGAAAAACAATACAGATTATATCAAACAATGACTGGGAGAAGCTCTTTTATACCCACAACATGGGTCAAATTAACCTTAGATTCAATCATGGAACACTCGCTTCAATTGGGCACCAAATGGGATGGTCACTTTAATGACCAATTATTATACTCCATATTATACTTTGATGACCAATTATTATACTCCATACAGTAGGAAAAAGTACAAGACTTGATTGCATGGAAGAAATAATCCTGCTCACTTACAGTTACACCAGAGACATGGACAGTAACATCCCATAATATTAAGCATAACTACTGAAATTAGCATTGGATTAAAAGAATGTTCAGATGGAAAATGGCATCATGAATCACGTCTCTTGTGAAAAGGTGCAATTTCAGCCACTTGAAACATCTAGCATGTCCGATTGAAAAAGTCCTTATTATTCAGCTTGAGAAAGTCCCTTATTTTGTAGTTATTTACCCTTATTGTCTTCTTTACTCAATCCTCTTATTGGTATAATTATTATGAATATCATTATTCTGTTGCTTTGTATATACACTGAGAGCTTATGCATTCGAGACAAATTCCTAGTGTGTCTATTCACTTGGCCAAATTGAATACATATATTCCTGAGATACACACTGTGACTGAAGGTATTATCATACTCAGCCATGTTTATCATTTTTCTCCCACGTGAATAATTTAGCGTTGATGGAGGCTACTACTCTGAATAAAGCTCTTTCCACACTCCTGGCATTGATGTGGTTTTTCTCCCGAATGGATTCTTTGATGTCAGTCAAGGTGCCCTCTCCGACTGAAGCTCTTTCCACACTGCAGACATTTATGTGGTTTTTCTCCTGTGTGAATTCTTTGATGTTCACGGAGGTTTGCACCCTCAGTAAAGCTCTTTTCACACTCTTTGCTGGTTATCAAGATTTCTCCTTTGACTGAAGCTCTTTCCACACTCCAGGCATATACATGGTTTGTGGATTATTAGATGTTTTTCAAGGATTTGAATTGTTTTGAAGGATTTTTCACATTCCCTGCATTCGTACGTTTTTTGTAAATGGAATCTTTGATGTCTATGAAGGCTTCCCCTCAGACTCTTTCCACATTCCAGATTTCCTTCCTGAGTAGATGCTTAGTTTTCAAAATATCCATTTTTTTAGGGATTTTTCACATTCCCCGCATTGGTAGGGTTTTTGTAAATGAAGTCTTTGATGTCTAATAAAGGCTACTCTTCTGACCGAAGCACTTTCCACCCTCCAGGCATTTATTACATTTTTTCTCCCGAGTGGATCTTTAGATATCTACTAAAGCTGCTCCTATAATTGAAGCTCATTCCACACTCCTAGCATTTAAATTGTTTCTCTCCTAAGTGGATCTTTAGATGGTTTTCCAGATTTCCATTATTTTTGAAGGATTTTTTTACTTTCTGGTCAATTGTATTCCTTTTCTCTCGAGTGGATCCATAGACGTCTTTGAAGTTCTCTATCTCTTTTAAAGGATTTTTCACATTCCGGGCATGGATATTTCTTTTCTCCCACATAGATCCTTTGGGAATTCCAATGTCTTCCGAAGGACGTTCCTCCCTCCAGGCATTTATTCCGAGTGGATTCTTTGATGTCTATAAAGGCTGCAGCTATGACTGAAGCTCTTTCCACACTCCAGGCACTTATAAGGTTTCTCTCCTGAGTGGATCCTTTGATGTCTATAAAGATGTCCCCTTTGATGGAAGCTCTTTCCACACTCCAGGCATTTATGAGGTTTTTCTCCCGAGTGGATCCTTCGATGTCTATAAAGGGTGCTGCTATCTCCAAAGTTCTTTCCACACTCCAGGCATTTATGAGGTTTTTCTCCTGTGTGGATTCTTTGATGTGTATAAAGGTTGCCCGTCTGAGTGAAGCTCTTTCCACACTCAAAGCATTTATAAGGTTTTTCTCCTCTGTGGATTCTTTGATGTTTATCATGGGTGCTCCTGTCACGGAAGTTCTTTCCACACTCAAAGCATTTATAAGGTTTCTCTCCTGAGTGGATCCTTAAATGCCTTTGAAGTTCTCTATTTCTTCTGAATGATTTTTCACATTCCGGGCATTGATATTTCTTTTCTGCCTCATGGATCCTTTGGGGATTCCTGGGTCGTCCAAAGGACCCTCCACCCTCCAGGCATTTATTCGGTTTCTCTCTCCAGTGGATCATTTGATGTACATGAAGGTGACTCCTCTGACTGAAGCTCTTTCCACATTCCAGGCATGTATAAGGTTTCTCTCCCGAGTGGGTTCTTAGATGCCTTTGAAGATGGTCGTTTCTTTTGAAGGATTTTTCGCATTCCGGGCATTTGTGAATCCTCCCTGTCTTCTGGATTCGTTGGGGATTCCAGAGTCTTCCGAAGGCCTCTCCACCCTCCAAGCATTGATTCGGTTTCTCCCCAGAGTGGACCCTTTGATGTTTATAAAGGTATTGCTTCAAACTGAATCTCTTTCCACACTCCTGGCACTTGTACGGTTTCTCTCCCGAATGCATCCATTGATGTCGATAAAGGTTTCCCAACTGACTGAAGCTCTTTCCACATTCTAGGCATTTATGAGGTTTCTCTCCCGAGTGGATCCCTTCGTGTCTGTAAAGGCTGCTGGTCTGACTGAAGCTCTTTCCACACTCCAGGCATTTGTGAGGTTTTTCTCCTGTGTGGATCCTTTGATGTATATAAAGGTTGCCTGTCTGAGGGAAGCACTTTCCACACTCCAGGCACTTATGAGGCTTCTCTCCGGAGTGGATCCTTAGATGCCTTTGAAGATGGTCGTTTCTTCTGAAGGATTTTTCACATTCCGGGCATTCGTATTTCTTCTCTGCTGTGTGGATGCTTAGATGGCTTTTAAGATGTGAATTTGTTTTGAAGGATTTTTCACATTCCGGGCACTGAAATCTCTTTCCTCCCTCCTGGATCCTCTGGGGATTCCCGGGTCTTTCGAAGTGCTCTCCGCCCTCCAGGACCGTCTCGGGGTCTCCGCCCGTTTCCTTCTTCCCGCATCGCCCTCCGGGCAGCCGCCTTTCCCGGGGTCTCCCTGGGCTCATCCCTCCTGCAGCCCCGGGGCTTCCCGGCCTTTCTCCGCCGTTCCCCGGGCAAGCCGCGCCGGGCAGGGCTGCTCCGCGGGGCCGCTCTCCTCCTCCTCTCTACTTCCTTCCCCCGCCGAGCTCCTCTGTCCTCCTGCGGGAGAGAAAGAGAAAAGGGTCACCGGTGCGCCCCCTTCCCCGCAGGGGAGGCCCAGGCCGAAGCCTCCGCCTCTCACGGGCCTCCCTCCCAGCGTCCCCATGACAGACTAGGCCTCGGACACCGCCCATTCCCTCCCTCCTTTCTCCGGAGGGACCCTCCAGGACTGCGACTCCCGGCGTTCCACGCGCCCCACCTGCATCCGGCCGCATGCGCACACGGAATCGAAAAAAAAGTCCTTCCGTCGCCTCTTCGATTCCGAAAGTAAGGGCCAGACCGGCCTCCGTCCCCTTTCGGTCAAGCTCCGCCTCTTCCGCTGCTAGCGCTGAGCCACCTCTCATGTTGCTCTCGCTCTCTTAGTCCGATTGCGGAAGTCGGGAAGAAAGAACTTTTCCCCCGCTGCATCGGGCGGCTTCTGCGCCATCCCATTGGCGGGCAGGGCCTCGTGGTCCCGCCCCTGCCTTCTGGCTTTCCTTCCCGTCTGGGTTCCTCCGCTCGCTTGGCTCCTCCCCTGCACCGCTGACTCCGCCCCCTCCCCTCTGCCCGGCTTGGCGGCATGGGGGGGTGAATGGGGGATTCCCAAAGGGGCCTCAATGGAGGGGAATGGAGGGAGGTTTCCCTCGCGGGCCTCGGCTTTCGTGTGCCGGAGCCCCCCCCTCTCTGCCCCCCGGGAGCTGCTCCCTCCCCCGCCCCAGGAGCCTGCAGCCGGGTGGGCATCTCCGGGTGGCCCCCTTTCCCCCTGGGGAGAAGAGGGCGGGTTGCAACTGAGTCTTCCCCGCCAAGCACCCCCAGTCCAGCTGCTCCAGGCCGCCTGGCATCCCTTTCTCTCCCGGCTGGAAGGAAGGGCGAGGTCCCACCTGTTCTTGCCAGCCTCAAAGAAGCCGCGAATAGAGCGATCCTTCCGTCTGTGAGAAGAAATATGATGGCAGTTTCTAAAGGCCTCCTGATCCCCGGAGACTCCTGGCCGTTTGCAAATGCTCAAACCCGCTCGCGTTGTTGTGAGGCCCCTGCATCGGGGGGGCGGGGGTGGGGTGACGGGAAAAATCCTCTTTTTCTTCTTCTTTCATTTCGTGGTTTAGGAACTTCTGGGTAGTTTCTCTCCTTGCCCGATTCTCCTTTTGCGGGATACTTTTCGGGGCATCTCCAGGTGGCCCCCTATCCTCCTGGGGGAAAGGACGGGTTGCACCTTCCTGGCTTCCCATTCTGGACCTCTGACTCGCAATTGTTTCCTGAACCCTCGGACTTCCAAATGAAAAAATTCACTCAAGCTTCAGTTTGCTTTCCCCCCACCCCCTAAGAATGCATCTTTGGCCCGCTCCGCTGATTCATCCCTCATTCATTATTCCTAAATTGCTTTGCAAATCTTCATTTTCCAATCTTGTTTTCTGAAAATTGCAACAATCTGGTGGGACAGGGAAGACACAACAATGAGCAGGGGACTGTTTTCGGCTACAGGAGATGCTCCCTGCTACTTCTGATTGAAGAGTTCCCATACACGGGGAATTTTCAGGGTCACAAATTTTGCTTTTAACGCAGCGCCTTTAAATGTAGGGCAGAGGGAATAAACTATGGGGAGATCCCTCTTGTTCCACACTGGCTTCTCCCCTTAGATTGGAAAGCTACTTTAAGCAACCTGATGGTTAGGAGGGTCTGATGGAAAGAAGAGAGCAAGTTCTTTGTCTGGGTCAGATGACAAAGCCAAGACGGTCCCTTCTGCCCTCTGGGATTAGTACAAGCTGCATAGGAGGAGCCGCCCTGAAGCCATGGGGCTGTGGTGAGACCCCAAGCAGAGTGGGTGGAAGGTTGGTTCTTCTGGGACTGAAAAGACGGAGCCCACACTGGACCTGTGGTTCAAAAGTTGAGCACAGCTGTGGAGGAAGAGATGCTGTCGGCCGTGGGAGCCAGAGCAGGGGGCAGAACTGGGGGGAAATGGCTTGGCAATTTTGATGTTGGCACCTGGAAAAGGCTGCCAGTGTGACATCTCTATGGAGGTAATGGCAGCCTTGGAACCTACCTCAAACAGTCTCTCAGGAACCACTACTATTTAATCTTGCCCCTGCATTGTGGAAGGCGTCATTCTCAAATATTATTATTATTATTATTAATATTATTATTATTATTATTCACAAAAATGACAGTGTACACAGCAAATGGGATAACTATGCTGGGTTTAGTATCACAAATCACTAGTCAAACCCTTCCCAAGCACTGTGTGATGTATCAGCGGATTATGCAAGCAGATCCCAGTAAGGTGGCCTTCTGCAGCTGACCAATGGTGATCTGGTCAGTGCCAATTGTTTTTAAATGCTTGCCTAGGTTTTTAGGCACAGCAGCACCCAGTGTGCCCAGTACCACTGGAACCACCTGCACTGGTTGATACCAGAGTCTCTGCAGTTCGATTCTCAAGTCCCGATGTCTGGTGATTGTTTCAAATTGTTTCTCATCGATTCTGCTGTCACCAGGTATGGCAATGTTGACAATCCACACTTTTTTCTTCTATGATGATGATGATTGTCATTGCACCCCATACAACAAAATTAAATGCCATCTTCAGTGTACATCATACACAAGAAAACGATGAAAATAAAACACAAACACACATCCTTCACATTCTGTACATTTGAAATGAAAACCCCTGATACTGCATTAATATTGCACTCTACAATAGAATTCAGTATAGTTACTGCCCTGAGATAGAAGCTGTTTTTCAGCCAATTTGTCCTTGTTTTATTATCCTGTACCGTCTGCCAGATGGTAGTAGTTCAAAAAAAGGGTTCCCAGGATAAGATGGATCTTCGAGAATGTTTTGAATTTTCTTAAGGGAGCGGAAGCTCTAAAGCTCTTCCAAAGAGGGAAGAGGGCAACTAGTAATCCTCTGGGCAATGACATTAACCCTCTGGAGCGCTGTCCTATCTGCCCCTGTGCAATTGGCAAACCATGCAGAGGTGCAGTATGTTAAAATGCTCTCTATGGTGCAGCGGTGGAAGGTCACCAGCAGTTTTTCACTCAGTTGTTGTTTCCTGAGAAGCCTCAGGTAGTCTAATCTCTGCTGGGCCCTTTTGACCAGGGCTGCAATGTGAGCACCCCAAGTCAGGTCCTCTTTTAGGGTAACACTCAGAAACTTAAAACTGGCCACTTGTTCCACTCAGTCTCCCTGGCCAAGCAAGGGCTGGATGTCTGATCTGTTCCTTCTATTATAGTCCACTATAAGCTCCCAGGTCTTATTGGTGTTGAGGACCAAGTTATTGTCTCCACACCACGAAAGCAACCGGTCCACCTCATCTCGGTAGGCAGACTCCTCCCCCCCCCGGAGATGAGTCCCATCACTGTTGCATCATCTGCAAATTTAGTAATAGTATTGCTGGCCCGAGTGGGACTGCAGCCATGAACATAAAGAGTATAAATCACCAGTCCTTGCATGTCTACAGAGATTCTCAGCCATCCAAGTTATGGTTGTCTCAAAGGTGGGGTTTTCCCCACACCTCCAAAGGCAACTGGATTATATTTTTTCTTTCGCTGGAGAAGTAGAGCTTTCACTTCTCATCCAAGACTCCTCATCCGTCCTTGCACTTCCTCTTTTCTCTCTCTTTCTCTCATTCTTCACACAACTTTCACCGGGTGGGAGTTGACACCCCTTCCTTCCTGCCCGATGCCTCATGGAAAGTCAGCTTCTTCCTTCGATCCGGCAGCTTGGAAGGAACCAGGAGCTGTGAATCTGGAACCCTGGTCAGGTCAGTCGGGACTGCTGCTTCGCAAGCTCCTGCTCAGGTGGGCGGGATTGGTTTCCTGGGCAAAGCAGGAGCGTTTTCCCTGGGGTGTTGAGAAGGAGGGGAAGGAGAGCCCCTCTGCTGACACGGGCTCTCTGGATGCCGAATGGGGGATCCATTGGCCCACTGAAGTAGGAATGGATGACATCTTTAGACCTCTGGGGAAGGTGGAAATCTTCCTGGTGGGAGCAGCTCTTGTAAGAGAACTTGGAGCGATTGGTGGGAGAGTTTGGGAGTCCAGTTATTTGTGCCTGAATCTGCCATATCAGAATCTTTCCCCAACAGGTGAGTAAGCCATCGGAGTGCCTGTGGTGGGTGTACCTTTCTCTTCTGTCCTGCCTTTGGAGGACAGAGGAGTGGGGATTAGGAGTGGAGAAACTGTGGAGCTTAGCATTAGGAGCTGAAATCCTTGGCTGGAAGCTAAAAATGCAAAGCATTTGGGGAGCGGGATGGGGGTTGGAATGTCCTCTTGTTGGAGGTGGTGGCAGGGAGGTCATGTGATTTCAAAACCGAAAGAACTCTCAGGCAAAATTATATGAAATAAAAGTTCTGCTGGATCAGTGAAGCAAGAGCTAGGAAGGCCAACCAGATTCCAGCAGGTGGAAGGTGCTGGAGCTATGAAGATGTCCCTGGTTGTCTATGAAGAGATAATTTTTTTTTGGAGGGGTGGAGACCAGCAGAGTCCAACTGTTAAGCAGGAAAGTCCAAAGACAACCAACCTGCTTCCTCCGCCTAATGGCCACAGACCTTCTCTGGGGCTTCTTCCTTGCCCCATGGGCGACTTTTTTTCTCTGAGATACGATCAGCCCGACTCCTTATTAGCATTTTTATCCATCTCAGAACTGAGTTATTTTGAAAACAATTCGGGTTGCCTCGGATGACTGAACATCTCCCTAGAGATCCAGCATTTGGGTTGTGATCATAGCCTCTTTTTTTTTTTTTTAACTTATTTATCGCTTCTTATTTATCGCTTTTTATTATTTTCATGATTGCTGACTGGCCTTGATCAAACTCCCATTTTTAAAAGAGTAACGTTACATCAAGGATGTTGGTTAACAATGCGGGATCTGTTTGAGTCCCTGAGCAGCGTTTGATTATGGCCAGGTAGCGCATCTAATCAAATCATACATTGAAATAATTAGGAGACACAGGGCTGAGCCTCGCTTGCCACAGACGGCTCCAGCACCATCCTGGTTGCCCGTCAGGCTGCTCTGATGACTTTTGAA